GTAATGCTTCTAGCGCATATGCTTGAGAAAACAGTGACAGAAGTTGAAAGAATGTTGATCATAGGAAAATACAAAATATTTTTTAAGTGGCTAGAGGGTGTGAATAGGCAATTCCCCTACTCGGGAAATCGATTATGTGTCACCAGGGACTCCCAACAGGCAGATTAGATGGCAGTAGGAGAAGGCCTGTGTCCTGGATCATGGCCTGTGGGGAGGACAAGCAAAGGACGAATGTCTGCTCCGCTCCTCCCCTTGTCTGCCCAGCACTCTTGTACCTTTTGTCACCACACCCGTGCTTAAGAAAGCGCAGTGCCATGGCCAGCATAATCCCCTGTGTGGTTGAAGACACAGCCACAGCTTCTGCTCTCCAAGAAGATCTTCATCCATTTGTTTTCCGGCAATGTCAGAGATGAGTGCTGGGAAGAAGAGTACTTCATAGGGGTCTGTCGTGCTTTAGCCCTTCCGTTGTTCTTCTGAGTTGGGGGCTGATTATCTTAGGGTCAAACAGTCATAAGTCACTGTCAGCCAGACTTGATAAGGTAGCTCCCCTAAAAATATACTTGGTTTTTAAGGTTTATTTGCTTCCGTAGACTAGTAATGCAGACAGAAGATACTGCCAAGTCTTAAGGTATTGAAATTAGAACCTAGGATGGGAATTGTCTCCTGGCCTTGGCTCTCTGCAGAATGCTGTAGCTCTTGGTTAACAGCGTCCAACTAGGGTCAGTAGAGCTTGGAGGTACAGCTCAGATTCTACATCTTCATGGTGGCCGGCCCTGCTTATCCCTGTCTCAGGCTGGGAATCCTTCCGCACAGCACCATGTTTTCCTCTCTGACCTTTCACACAGGCCAGGTTTCCTAACCCATACTCTGGCTGGCATCCTGAATTTTCTCAAATTCTCTGATGTTGCAGGGACAAGGTCCAAGTCTCAAGGCCGTGGCTCAGCCAAGTTTCACTGTATGTTGTGATAGTCCTCAAAGTCTCGTGTTTTCAGAGACGGGCTTTTAGGAGGTGATTGGATCATAGGGGGCACTACATTGTTCTGTAGATCGATCCACTGGTGAGTTTAGAGCTGCAAGTGCTATCGGGAGGTGCATTCTGGTTGGAAGAGGTGAGGCGGTGGGAGCATGACATGGAAGGGTGCATCTCCCTCCCTGGCTCTTTGTTTCTCTTTTCTGCTGCCTGGCTGACATGATGTGAGCAGCTTTCCTCCACCCAGACCTTTCCTCCTTGCTTTCCTGCCCTGGAACCAGCTGACCATGGACTGAAACTTCTGAAGCTGTGAGGCAGAACAAACATTTCCTCCTTTACATTGAGGGTGTCAGTCACGGGTCTCAGTGATGAGAAAGTGACTAAGACAGATGATCAGAGGCGCTCATGCCCTCCTCCCTGTGCCTTAGCTCATCCAGTCCCCGTTTTTTGGTGTTACTTAGAACATTCCACTTCCTGGTACCAGTTTCTTTTATTAGGTAGGATGCTTTCTATTACAAATAACAGAATCTGTAACCCAGTCACCTTCAACAATAAAGAGAACTAATTGGCCACTGAAAACTTGAGAGATGAAGGGGCAAGCTCCAAGAGCAACTTGATCCAGAGATTTGTGATGTTAATTAGGGCCCCATCTCTAATTATTCTCAGTGATTTTCCTGCCCTGCCTTCCTCCCATGTGTTGTCTTCCTCCTGTGAGCTGCCTTCCTCAGGAGGCAGAGACAGCTGCAGTTGCTCCAAGTGTCACGTAGGCCGGTCACACCATCTGGAGGCAGAGAAACCCTTTGTCCTGACATTCCAAGCCAAAGAGGTTTGGGTTCAGTCACCTCAGCCGGCCTTGAGCCGGCTACAGTGGGTGGGGGATATGTTGTGGGCTTAGCATGGGGTAGATGTGGCTTCTCCAGAGCAACACAGATTCTCATGGAGGTTGGAGCAGAGGATGCCTGCATGTCTGTGTACGCCTGTGTCTGTGTCTATAGCCCTGCGTGTGTGAATGTGTGTGTAGCACCACACTCAGCTTTTTTTTTTAATCAATATATTGGGTATACACAATACATGCGTACCGAACAAAGTGTCCCCAGCAGTCTGCACACCTCTCATTTAATTCTACCTTCCGCCCCCCATGTGAGCTCTGACAGTTTATGGGGAGTTTGGGTTTGCAAGTGATTCTGAGTTGTGTTCCCTTGGGAGGCACAGCTCTGTCTGTAACAGGAGAAACCAAATCGGTTTGTTTGGGTGGAGCAAATACAAGAGGCTAAACCCAGCCTGGAGGTGGTGTTCACAGTCTGTGGGGAGGCGTGGCCATGCCCTCCCCTGTGCTGTTTCCTCGGGGCCTGTTTTTACAGCTGTCACTGTACTTTCCCCATAGTAGATGATAAGAGGCTAAAAACCAGAACTGCTTGAATGACTAGATAATCTTGTTATTGTATTGTTTAATTTTAATTTTTATTAGTGTGTTTCAGTGCATCAGGATTACATTAGGGAATTGGTAGACGTACGCAACACATCTTAATTCCTTTTTCATCTCCTCTCTCCTTATCTCTTGGTACCCTTTGCATTTACAAAAGATTTATCTCCCTGTTTCCTATTAACTGTCTTTTATTTTTCTCTTTAATTCATTTGTATTTCAGGTTTCTCAGAAGAGAAACCATGTGATATTTAAGCTTGTCTTGATTTATTTCACTTAATGTTACGGTCTTAAGGTGCATCCGTTTTCCTACAAAATGATTCACATTTATCTTTCTTTATAGCAGAGTCGTACTCCATTTTGTATAAATACCACATTCTCTCTATCCCCTTGTCTGTTGATGGACATATAGGCCCCTTGCAAGGTTTCATTTTGGTTTGCTTTGGTGTCATATTTTAATTTGCAAAAATTGTGTTTTCAATTTTCCACTTTTAATCAAGTGCCAATAATAGCCTTTGTCTTGCCTTCTTCCCCTCCCCTCCTTCCACTTTGGACTGTGAGGTTGGGACACAGGTGTGCAAGTTAGGAGCCCCACAAGCTTCCTTGAAACTTGTATCTTTGGTTGACTTTCCCCCTAACCTCTCAGCCACCTTCCCTCATCTGCCAAATCGCATGAAATGCACTGCGGTGTGAGTGCTTTTGGCATCGTACGCGTCTGGGAACTGGAAACCTGATTTCAGGTTGATTCGCGGTGACAAAGGTTGGGCACTCAGCGCTACCCCCGTGCACGTCTCTCCATGGACGCTGGCACCAGCCCAGCTGTTTCCAGGCTTCTGCTCCAGCCCCAGAACACAGCAGGTGCCTCCCACCCACACCTGCTTTGTTCCAAAACAGAGCGTGGCCTGCTTCAAAACACAACTGTTCTTTGGGACAGCACTGTTGTGTGTTAGTGATGTCTGAAACTATTTATTCCAGGTGTAGTTGGCATGAAATTTTAAAAAATAATGAAATAAATAATTCCTCCCTTTCTTTTGAATGTTAAATACTTTTCTCTTGGTGGTTCTTGTTTGTTGGTGAATCTTTTGGTTTCATTTCAGTCTTCTTTTCTGGTTTCCCAGAGCAAAAAAAAAAAATTTTTTTTTTTCAGTCTGATCAGAAATGAAAGATATGTTTGTGGCTTCATAAGAATTGAGAATTGCTAGCCACAAATAACACTGAATTTCTTACCTACTCCTTTCCAGTTTTCTTTGAGACCTTCCAACTAAATGTCATTTCTGTTGCCTCTGTGAGACCTGCTGGGTGTCCTAGACGGGAAGAGAAGACATCTGCGTAAGTCGCTAAGACTTGAGCAAGCAGACCAGCCTCCCTGTGGGACAGGCGCTCTTTCCACCCACTGCCAGGGCTGTGCGCTTGTGCCTTTGTGAGTGTGTGTGAGTGTTCTGTGGCATTCAGACAGAAGTTATGTAGACCTGTCTTCTGTGTTGCTCACATTCAGGATGGCCCAGGTGAGTTTATTTCTGTATCCTGGTGACTTTAGGAAAAGTACCACAGATGAGCACATGCACAAAACTCATGCACCACGTGCTCTGTGCATGCTCTGTGTTCAGATCTTGACAGAACACAGTACTCCCGCGGCAGTCAGCTTGAGAGCGCGGGGGATTTAGTGTTCCCCGTGCCGTGTATGTTAGGAGTGGGGGCAGGATGTGGCCGTTGAAGTGTGCCTGTTTCCTTCCCCTCCGTAAGTCTTTCCCATCGAGCCAAAGGGAAGCTGTAATGTTTCTGGACAATCATTGCCTGTCTGCCCACTTGATTTTGCTGATATGGTGGCATGTCTGTTGGAATGAGGTTTAAAAATACAGAAGTCTCTCCTGGCAGGTTATGTTATATGATTGGAAGCATGTACAATTGGTTGTGTTTTCTAAGTTAGTTTTGAGTGTGTGGAATGAAATTTCTTTCCATGAATGCAATGTTTCGTGCGGTGATGTGGTTCTTTAACAACACAATATGAGGAAATCTTTTAATTAATCAAAAGTAAGGTTCTTAATGTCTGTGAGCTTCAATTTCCTGACGCAGATTTCAATGCCTACCTTGTAGAGTTATTGTGAGGATTGAATTAATTCGAGCATGTCACGTTCCTTGGAATAGTGTGTCTGCTTCCTGGCTGGTGGGTGACCAGGGTAAGTGTTAGCAGCAGCATTTTGCAAACAGTATTTCTTGGGGAAATTTCGTCGTGCAGTGCTGGTGGTTGTCATCCCCCAGGAAGGAGGTTCACAGTTCAGGTGTGACTTTGGTTTGCTTGGCCCAAGAGAAGGGCGGGTTGGGCTCCTTTGGGGAGAGCAAATGATTGAAAGAACACGGAGACGTGGTTTTCTAGCTGCTCTTTCTGCACATGGACTTTGCTTGGGAAGGTGGAGTGGGAATTAGGTTCAGTTTGGCTATCGCTTGGCCAGTGGAACAGCTGCATCAAGTCCAAGGCTTCTGACCTGGGTTGCGGGAGCAGAGGTTATGACATTTTGTGAGGCAGCGAGGGTCATTTTTCCAGTGGTGCCAAGAACCCATCTGAACGTGTCCCTCATCTAAACCTATTCCTTTCCTTCTCTCTGCCAGCTGCAGACCATGGCCAAGATGGAGGTGAAAACGTCACTTCTGGACAACATGATAGGAGTCGGAGATATGGTTCTCCTGGAACCTCTCAACGAGGAGACCTTCATCAACAACCTCAAGAAGCGCTTCGACCACAATGAGATTTATGTGAGTCTAGGGGAGACCACTTGTGGTGTTTAGGCTTCATGTTTTGTGGCAGACAGCAGGCTTTTTACCTCACACTCTTTTTTCTTTCCCTCTTTTCCTTAGAGACTTGTTTATCCCTCATAGAGTTTTGAGTGTTTGCTGACCCCTTTTTCCCAAGGCACAGTCTTGCTCTGGAAAGGAAGGGAAGACTTTTAGTTCCTGCCGTTGGAAGAACATCATTCAGAGTTTTGCAGTCCACAAATATCGTTTTGCATGTCTGCATATGATTAGCCAAGTCTAATCATTGAGAAAAGCTACTCATTAAAATTCAAGACAATGAACTTTCCAAAAAGACGTGAACCTTCTTGACATGTGTCATGGGGGGGGCTATTTTATCAGATAAGAATATGTGCTTGGTCCCTGGAGCCTTTGGGCTGGGCATGCTCTCAAAGGATACGGCAGTGCAATTGTGTTAATATATACAATGAGAGACCCTTCGTTGCAAAATTCCTTTGTAAAGGATTTCATAGTATTTACTTTGGCAAGTCTTCTAGAGCATGAATAAAAAAATACAGTTACATGTAGCCTTTAGGAGTTGAAATAAAACACAGCCCTTGCACTTGGGGAGGTAAAAGTACGTATTAACTCAGTGAAGGAAACGCCTTGGTTACCCATATTGGCTCCAGAGAAGGGAACAGGAAGGATGGGATGGAAGCAGTTTCAACAGTTTTTTGTCTTGCCCCGAGTTTTCTTTCCTTCTTCGAAAAATGTTCATCTGTGCATAGAGAGGAACTGGATTCAGAGGAAGCCTGGTTCAAGCTTCGTTTTTCTGTCAATTTGGGGAGGAAATATAAAGAAATAAAAGACTGTAACATGATAACAAATAGGCGAACATATATAACTTCCATGGAACTAATATATTTTAAACAGCATGTGCACAGTTATAAGTTGTATTATTTTCCATCACGGTACCTTTCTCTTCTCCATGTCCAGTTGTCTTAGTTCATGTAGGCTTCTATGGCAGAATATCATACATTAGGTAGCTTGGAAACAGCAGAAATTTACTTCTCACAGTTCTGTGGGAATTTCAAAATGAAGGGGCTGGTGAATCCAGTGTCTGCTCCATAAATGCCGTCTTATCGTGTGCTGTGGTGGAGGGGGACTGCTCTGTGCACCCGTTTTTATCAGAGCCCCTCCTGAAGGCTCCACTTGCTGTTCCACTGAGTTGGTGATTGGCTCTCAACACCCTGATTTTCCAGGCACACAGGCTCTCAGACCAAGGCGCCAAGCGCGTTTCGAGAAGAACTTTGGGTAATGAACGTGCTCACTGCGTAGTAGCTGTCGTATGGGAATTAAACTTTTCCTTCCTTCCCGACAAGGGGCGAGTGTTGGAGGTGAGGGAGGTTGATAATAGCAGGAGACGTGTGAGTGCTTTTTTCGGAATAGTAATTTGCTAACTGCATAGTAGACTGAGGTGTAGTTACAGTTGAGAGGTTACTTAAAATGCCGATCCAAATGGAAGAGGAGAAGCTGCAGAGCTGCAAATGGAAGAGGTACTGTTTGGTTTGGCACCAAGGCCTGGTGTCACCTTCTCTCCCTGGGTAGAGGTTCTGATTTCAGGTGGGGAAGCCTGATGCTTGTGCAGCTCTAATTGAAAGTGTGGTCTGATATCAAATAAAAGGCAGCCTTTAAATCTGGGGCTCCGAGATGGAGATAGGAGGAATTGATTATATCATAACGTCGATCAGTTTTCTTTTTGGCTCTAAGAGGCACAATTCACTTTTAGAGGAATTGAAAATAGCATGGGGAGTGGAACATTAGGTGCGTTTCAGTACCTGATTTGTTGTGGCCACTGAAAATAAAACAATCCCCCTTTTAACAAAATGCCAAGTGGTAACACTCATGAGTCTTCAGCAGACAAACTGTCTGGGTTTCAGCCCTCCATAATTTTATTTTCTAAACTATTTTTGGAATGCCCTTTGTGGTTATAAAACAAAAGCAGAAAATTAACTTTAGCTTCCAGGTATTGATAGTGATGAATGTTTTCCACGGTCCTGGGGCACAGCTCTATGCACAAGATGCGTGCCTTCATTTAGTTAACTTTATTTATTTTTGGTACCGGGGATCGAACTCGGGTCCTTGTGCTTGCAAGGCAGGCAGTGGCACCACTGAGCTAAATAATCCCTGGCCATATTTTGTTAACTTTAAACAGACGTTGTGTTGGGGGAAGCATTCTCTATTTTTAGCTTTTTGTTTTTTTAAAGCATATTGTAGTGTGATGTCTGTAGACTGACTGTATTTTCTTAAATGAGAGGATTTCTGACTGTATGGAGAGAAAGGCATGTTAGCTTTGGGCCCTGTGGTAGGGTAGGAGAAGATGTGGGGACAGGGAGAATGCTCTTGAGACCTCTGTATTGTAGGACTAAGCATACGTTCCTTGGTAATTATTAAAACACTGCATGATAAATTTGATTACCATGCTCTCCAGCCCCAAACGTCACGTGTCTCACCCTTAGGAAACCTATTTCTGGCTCTTTTTCTTTATAACATTCTCGCTTTGCTTTTGTTGGTGAGCTGCTGCCCAGTTGTGGAGCCTAATACCCAAAGCCACGCTCATAAGACAAGCAACGTTTCACTGGCTTGTACTTTGCTTCTTTTTTTAAGGTTCTTTCTCAGAAAATGTAGATACAGTTAGGAAAATAATCTTTTAAAGTCTCACAGCTTTGTTTTCTACTTTGAGTGCCCCTCTGGGATGATTCAGGCCAGTCTGTGAACTGCGATACTTCACTGAGACTTTTTTTTTTAGTGGAGCCTAACCCAAAGCCACGCTCATAAGACAAGCAACGTTTCACTGGCTCGTACTTTGCTTCTCTTTTTAAGGTTCTTTCTCAGAAAATGTAGATACAGTTAGGAAAATAATCTTTTAAAGTCTCACAGCTTTGTTTTTTCCTTTGAGTGCCCCTCTGGGATGATTCAGGCCAGTCTGTGAACTGCGATACTTCACTGAGACTTTTTTTTTTTTGTATACCGGGGATTGAACTCGGGTCCTTGCGCTTGCAAGGCAGGCCACCAAACCGCTGAGCTAAATCCCCAGCCTTCACTGAGACTTTTAAAGCCTGCCTGCGGCCACAGGTTCAGCAGCCCCGGCCTCCGGAGAGCTGACCGTGGGTCTTGGAACTCTCATGCTCCTTGGTGCCATCTGCCTGCCTTTCCCCTCCCTCTCCCCCACGTCAAGAAATGAGAGCCTGTCCTTGTGTCATGGTCCCCTCCTGGGGGTGGGATTTGCCACTCGACTGCGGTCACAGCCCTGCGTGTTCTGTGGATGTACAGCCGGCTGACTTGGGCGGGGGGCTCCCAGTGATCCTGCCGCACTGAACCTGAAACTCAAGGTGGGAAGAGACTTTTAAAATCAGGTCAGGACATCAGGTTGTGTTAGGCGGTGTGGATTGCAAGTGGCAAACACCCAGCCCAACCTGATTTCAACAACAAGATTTATTTGCTTGATATCTGCTAGGCCAGATGTGGTTCTGCTTTCAGAATTGGTTTGACCCTGTGGCTCTCCGGTGCCCTCCAGAACTTGGTGCATTGGTTACTGCCTGTCTGCGTTGGCCTCCATGGCTGCTGGTGCATTCTGGGCTTTGCTTCCCCACACCCTGCTCACAGGCACGCAGTCTGGGAGCACAGGGGACTCATTCCCAGCCAGAGTCCTGAGGTTGGCTCCTGGAGGCTGTGGGCTTGTGTGCCCACCTCCATCCAGTGGGCCAACTTCTAAAATAGATGGGCTGTGTGGGCAGGAGTGGGGAGCCAGCTGAATAGATCTGTCCTCACAGCAGGAAGAGGGAAAGGGCACTGTGTGCTGAGGAGGCCACCTGCTGTGAACCCCACATGGGTTTGGTGGTGCAGTGCAGCTTCATTGATGCTGGTACCATGCTAAAGGATGTACCTGGTGGGAGCTGGGCATGGTGGTGCACGCCTATGATCCTAGCATTCGGGAGGCTGAGGCAGGAGGATCACTGTGTGTTCGAGACCAGCCTGGGATACATAGTGACTTCCAGGTCAGTCTCAACTACATAGTGAGACCCTGTCTCAAAAACAAAAGAACAAACAAAAAAAAGGATGTACCTGGTGGGAAGCAAAGATCACAGGGCTTCCCGGAGTTTTCTGCTGGTGAACTTCTAACAGCAGAAGGAATAGTAGGTTGGGCAACAGAGTTGAAGTCTGTTAGCATGTTGTAGGAAAGTTTTGCTGACATTTTTGCTTCCAAAAGCAACTCAGAGTCCTCTTCTGTAATGCAGTGCATATGGCTTATTTTAGTGTGATGCAGTCTGTGCAGCCCTCCTTTGAGTGAGTGCATGCTCTGGAATTCCTGTTCTCTGCTTACAGGGTCACATGGTGGTTTGAGTAGCACTGAGTTGGGTTGGTCCCTGTCTGTTTGGGGCCTTGCAAAGTCCCTAAAAATGGGTCAGTCGCAGATGTCTGCACAGGAAGAGCTCTGGGCCCATGTGGCTGGAGAGGGTGGAGAGCCAGGTGGGGGGCACCGGGGCCAGAGACTTTGTTTGCTTTTCTTTGGTCTCTTGGTGGAGCGTGGGTTCAAGCTGGGAGCAGCTACAGGATGCACCGCAGCCTGGCAGGCTCTGGAGGGTCACTAGCCGGGAAATGCTGCTGTGACGTTCCCGAGGGTGCCGTTCTGAATGCTTTCTGTCCTTTGTCAGGCCTTCTACTGGCCACTCTCAGGCCGGATGGCAGAGGTGGTGGGACTTCGTGTGGACGTCTATTGTCATGTGGCTGGGTGCAGACCCAGCCAGACACGTTCTGTTTTAGGATGACTGGTCAGGACTGCGGTTCTGCTCAGGAATAGGAAATCTGCAATTTAGGAAGGACAAGGCCCAGGACAGATTTGGAAATGAAAGAACCAAGGTGTCTGTTCCCTTACAAGAAGTATTTTTGGTGCCCACTGTGCTAAATTTAGTTTGTTTTCTGTCTGAATTGTTAGGTTGAGGATCATCCCAATGCAGAGGTCT